GGCCCAAATAAAAGCTTAACTAACAAATTCCCCTTTTTGTAAGATAAACCGAGTGGCTTTCAATTCTATATGGGTCTTTCTGATTTAGAAAGGTCCAAGAGCTCTTAATAAAATAAATCCTTCAAGACTTGAAATTTTACATGGGCTTTTCTCTTACATTATCAACTTAACATACATAACATACCTAACATACAAACTTAGCATAATCAACCTAACATTATCAACCTATTCAACTTAACCTAAACCCTAATTGATTAACATTTGATACAATCAATCCAATTAATAGAACTAATGTCATTCCCATGATAAATTTGTTCATCATCTTCAAAAACTTGATCTTCAACTTCAATTGATCCTCTCTAATTATGGCTTCATTTAGCTTGAATTTTTCTTGGTTTAATTTTTGATGCATTGAAGATATTACTTCCTTGGCTCTTTGAGACATCTCTTCATCATACCAGGCGAAGTGACTACACTTCTTATATCCCTGACTTTAGAAATAGAGAAGAACAATGAGAGATTTTTTGGAAATCAAAAAATAAATTTGTTCATAGATTTTGCAAATGAAACTAATACCTTGTACATCCTACAGCCAAAAAATCAATGCCCTTGGTTCAAATATGTCAAAGTCGTCATTAACGGAGATGGAAGACCACATTTGCATTCGACATGATTGGAGCGAGAAACAGATTGATTATTTGATGTTGAATATTGGGACATGGTCCGTGAAGCTTAGAGCGTGAAATTGATACGATATCTATGATTTTCAGGAGGAGAAAAACTTCATTGGTTCTAGGGTGTACAACATCGTGTCTTATATTGTTTATGCACATGAACAAATGTAACACAGTCAAATACATGAGACTTAAAATTTTGTAATATGAAAATAGAGGGAAAATGTGAAAGCATAAATTGTACAAGACTAACACTATTTAAGACTCGAAATGAGATCCAATAGATTAGATAGAAAGTTGTAAATATTGTCTCTCCTCTATAATAGTTGAGAACTTACATTTGAAATAAAAGAGATCGAACAACTTCAAGTAAATGGCAGTTTTTTCTTTTGAAAACGTCATTTTGTTAAAGTATTCTTATTCGTGAAGTTGAAAAATACATGATTGACATATTATTTATGATTGTCAGATGAAATTCTACTTACACCTTTTTCAAAATAGTAAGCCAGGATTATTCAAAATAGTAAGCCAGAATTATGGCTCTCAGCTAGAATAATTAGACAAATATTGAGATTCTGGTACATCAAGAAAAAATGTTCTATTTTGGTTGTAAGAGAGGTTCATCAAGTCCAATCAAAACTTCAAATATGATTTGAAAATAGTGGCTTAATATCAGAGAGGAAAGACTTGTTTTATATCTCTAACATTGCACCTTAATATCACACTGTCAGTTCCTTTCTTACTTAAATTCAACCCATTAAAGCAACAAAAAAAAAAAACAGATAATATTAATTTGAGAATGAACAAAAGGATCATATCATTTATTAACTCTTATCCATCCATTTGCATTTTCATGTCCGAAAGCAAAAAACCGGAAAAAACACAGTAAATTACAAGCAGGACAAATGATACAAGAAAAACAGCGTTTCCAATGCCATAATACTTAAACTTAGTAAGTTTCAGGTGTGTGTGCAATGAAACTGATGCATTGAACTTGACGAACGTTGTCGAAACCAATGATACGAACGAAAGCTTCAGGGTAAGCCGCAATAACTTCATCAAGCTCCTTCAAGACTTGAGAAGCCTCAGTGGTACCAAACATAGGAAGCTTCCACATTGTCCAGTATCTTCCATCATAGTATCCTGGTGAGCTGTTGTGCTCACGGTACACAAATCCTTTCTGCAACCAAGTAGTCAAAATCAACTCATAAGACACTCTTAAACAAAACTATGTATATAATATCATTGAAAAAGTAATGAATAATATTAAACCTCCAACTCAAATTCCAAGCAAGGAACCCATCCCTTCCTGAGAAGGTATTCAACTTCTTTCAACAATTGCTCTCTGGTCAATGGTGGCAAATATGAAAGTGTCTCAAACTTCTTCTTTCCAATTGGAGGCCACACCTAAGAATTCAACAAAAGGGTTAACAAACTTATGTGCATTTTTGTCAATGAATCCATTAATACTATTCAAATAACCTTCTAGTTCTAAAATATTAAGCTATTTTGAACTTAACTTTTTCCAAAATCTCTCATTTAATAAGCTATTTTGAACTTCTTTAAATAGAAAACTTTTATATACTAGGGCTCTATGTAGACTAAAACTGTTTTCATATAAGCTATAAGTTGTTTTCATAAATTAACTTGAAGAACATACAGAAATAAGTTGAAAACAGTTTATATAGACTTTTCATAAATTGTTTCTATAAGCTCTCTCAAACGGTCTAATAAGTGCTTATGCCAATAGATATGCTTAAATAATTCAATCCAAACAGAAACTAAAAGTTTATACAAAGTAGATATATGTTTTCCTAACCTGCATGCACTTTACTCTTCCACCATTACTTGTAATGGAGGTAATGTCAGTGTTGACCTTCTTAACAGGGAATCCTGACGTAGATTTGAGGCTACCAAATAGAGCCCCTGCAGTGGATTGCACCGTAGAGGCACGGTTGACTGTAGTCACAGCTGAAGAAGATATCATAGAAGCCATTTTTCTCACTTCTGCTTGAATTGCAAAGCTTGTACTAAAACTTGCTATATATAATGTTTTTATTTATCTATTTCCAATATTATGGTGTTAATATTGTGGTAATTGGCTACTGCCTAGTACCAATCTTGTTGGATAGTACCAATCTTGTTGGATAGTGAAAATGATAAAGTTTGCAGCCATATTAACCACACAAGATTTGAAATTTTGTGTGCTAGCCTTATCATTAGCCACCAATAGGACAGTGCCATGTGGATATTACCCCACTGATCTTATCTTTTCATGTGAAGAGTGTAAATATGTGATGGTGGTTATGTTGATATTTTTATTTTTTTTGTAATGAATTGTATCCTTGAAAATGAAACTTCTTCACAAATATCTATTATGTATTGGGTAAACATTTGTTCCTGTCCAAGCTTTTGGATCCTCACAGGTGAAAAAAATATTAGTTAAATCAGAAAAACAAAATCAATTATATGAACCCTCTAAACTGATATTCTCTTATCTTTTTGTTGTGTAAATGAAAATGTGACTGTCTTCACAATTACATGAGAAACTTTAGTAAACTTATCTCTTTTCCTTGTTTGCAACATTTCTTCTATGTCTCAAAAAAGGTGAGGGTTCTGTGATGAAATTTACTGATTCTGGTCTGTCTGAATTGCGACACATTGATTATAGTGTCAAGTGATAAAATAAAGCATCTCCAAGATACTTTCTTGTATTTTATATCTTTAGTTGTTTTAGATTGGTATTTCACACCTAACAGATCTGGCTCCCTTGCAGTCAGGAACTTCCTGCAAGATTGGTTGCTATTTTGAATTATAAAATAGAAATTAAAATGTACATTTTTTTGGACTGTCCTATCTTGATAGAAGAAACACTTGTCTCAAATACGTGAGCATGTGATCCCATAACGAAGATCACTTCAAATAAAGATCACTTCAAATGAATGGTAGTAGTACACTCGATTTTAAAGGGAAATTGCACAATACTATTCACCAGTTTGGGGCCACAGCAAGTTTAGGAACTAACCTTCTGATCTGTACAATGCAGCACTGACAGTGTAGAAGAAAGCGTGTTTGAACACCAACATGAGTCCATATCCAACACGGACACACGTCTGTATCGAACACAAATATGTGGGATTACATTTGGTCACTTCCATTTACTTAAATGATTACTAATGTCAATGTGCTAGTGTCATGTTTGGAGTGTAAGTGAATTTGACAAACTCACGGGCCGTAGTTTTGGCTAAAGCTACACTTTGGAGCTTCAACAAAATCACAGTGTCACCATGATTTCATCAAACTCATTATCACTCCAAACATGCCAGCATAGTTTGTTAGGAAACAAAATCCAGTTTTGTAAACAAGTAATCAAACATGCCTGAATCTTACACAAATCAGATATCAGATATACCCATTTCAGATTAAAGGCATTGTTTGATTAGTTATACAAGTTCTTCTCAAATCTCAATGTTTACCATCATCATCATTCTGCATGGAGACAAACTCTACAGCCTGCACAAATTCATGACCATTTCAAAGTTCAAACACAATAAAATCTGTTAGCTTCTCATTTAATATTATTTCCCAAGTTCCAACCTCATCAACCACTCTATTGAAAGCTTGAAAATAAACAACAACAACAACAACAACAAAAACAAAAACAAACCATTCTATTACTGTCCTCGTTTTCATTTCCAAACAACAATCAAATTAAAAGAGCAAATAACCTAAATTACCATCAACTCACCATCACCAATATATGTCGCCGTGGTGTCAGATACAAACACACCTTCAATCAAAAACGTCAACGCTACATAGTTAAAAGTTCAAAGTCTACATAGATTTTTGAGCTTCTGATTCAAATATTTCTTGAAAATTAACCACAAGCACACATCACTAAATCCTATCCGTCTCACATTTTCACATACAATACCAATCAAACTCAAACCAAAGCAAATAACCTAAATTACCATCATTTCACCATCACCGGTATATATTGGTATGGTGTAAGTTACCAGACACACCTTCAATCCGAATTGTCAGCTCTACATAGTTCAAAGTTCAAAGTCTAGATAGATTTTTGAGCTTCTAATTCAAATATTTCTTGAAAATTAACCACAAGCATAAATCACTAAATTCCAATCTTTATCAAATTTTCACATACAATACCAATCAAACTCAAACAAGAGCAAATAACCTAAATTATCATCAATTCATCATCATCGGTTTATGAATTATGCTTCAACATACAAAAACTCAATCCCAAGTAAAATTTAATCAACAATTAGTCTTTCGAAAACTAAAGTGATAAACACAATTTTACAATCAAGCAATGTTATGCCAAGAAATTGCCGCTTTACGTTTGTTCCTATGCTCCCAAACATCACTATTCTTCTTCCAATTACGAATCTCCAACTTCTCATCTTCACCTTTCAAAGGTGTACGAGTACCGAAGAACGCAGGCCTCGCCGCCGCCACAGCAATCCTTGGTAACCCTAACGGCAATGGAACAGATTCAGTTTTATCTTCCTTAGTCTTGGACGAAAACGCAGAGATGAAAACCTTCCCGGACGAAGCTCCGGCGTGGAGTTGTGGGAGCATTGGACTCAAACCAAACACACCGCGAGTGTCATTTACGGTTGACGATGGATCGAGTTGGAGGACTCTAGGTGAAGCAGCGGAGGTGGAAGACTCCGAAGCGGCGGGAGTGCGGCGTTGAGGAGGTGGATGGATACCGTTGAGCCAACGAACGAGAGCGATGCGAGATGAACGGTTAGGATCGTATTCGATTCGTTCGACGATACCTATGGATGAAGATGTGTTGCGTTTGAGATCGATGACTCGTTGTAACCGTTTTGCGCCGCCGCCTCGGTGGAAGGAGGTGATTCGGCCGGAGGAATTACGGCCGGCGGTTTTGCCTTGGCCGAAGGTAAACTGACGAAGTGCTCTCTTCACTCCAGACATTCTTCAATGCTACTGTGTGAGCTAGGGTTACTCTATTGCTGAAACTGAAAGGAAGTAAAAAAATTTTACTTTTTTTTCATTTTCTATTTCAATTTTTTTTCTATAAAATGTTTTTCTGAATTTTGAGATTAACTTTTATACAAATGAATGTGTAATTCATTAAATTTTGCTTTTCTAATTTTTTTATATAGAACAATAATTCTTAAATTTGTTAGGCATTAGTATATGATTATTAATATATGATTTGGTTTTTTTTGGCTTTTTTTTTATATTTTTATTATTGCATTTATTTTGATTTTTATTAAACATTCAATATATATTTACACTTGAATCCTTAGGGTCAAAGTAGCCGTGACTCCTTTTTCTCTCTTCTTCCTTTTGCTTTTTATTTGTTCTCATTCTAAACACAAGTAGATTCTAAATTAGATTTTTTTTGTTAGAAATTTGTTCTCAAAATTGCTTCAAAATTGCTTCTTCTTTGTTCACTTTGGTATTGTCTTTAAGAGTAGTGTTCACTTTGGTATTGTCTTGAATGTCACCAAAGTTACCTTTCTTCTTGTTGCATCCAAAATCTTTATTCATTCTACTACTAAATATGGATGTGAGTTGTTTCTTTTGTTTTTCTTCCATTTGAGTTCTCTCTAATTTTTTATTTTTGTGTTTTTGCTAGGTAGAGAAACTATTTTTGATTGTGAGAGTATCAATAATTAAATAGTTTGATTCGTTTATGTGGATGGAATATGTAGAAACTCAACAATTCTAAGATTTTATAAATTGATTTATTCTTCTGAGTCTATAAACAAAAAAATGCACAATCAACGCATAAAATGTTGAAGAACGATGGCAAACGCTTGATAATATAAAGAAAAGATAACTAAAATCAACGGTAAATAACTGTGTAAAAATTACTGATCAAACTCCTTCAAACTTAAATTATTGATTGACCTCAAGCGACAATTACAAGAGTTCTTGAAATTCACAGCATACCAGTACTCATACGTGAGACTTTTGTTCACATTGTTCAAGAGGTAGTCAATCTGGTGTTCACATGACGCAAAGAGTTTTTGTAAGAACCTTTTAAACTTGTGCTTTCTCTTCGAATACCTCTCTAACTATGATTTGTACTTAAGTCTCTTTTTGATTTTTCCTCCTTTTTCATTCGGACAATCAAATTAACGCAATGAGAATTATGATGATCATCACATGCACAAGACTAATCAAGAATTCTTTTGTTTAGGCCCCAAATAAGCAGCATTTGCTACTTTTAATTATCGATGAAATTTTCAAACTTTGTAGTTATATATTGTCCTTATTTGGACGACGTTTGAGGATCAACCCCCTTTGGGCTGAATAATCGGGTGAGAGTGTAGCGGTAGAAATGTTGAGACTAAGCCATTGGATTGACTTAACTCGCAAAATTAGTGAAATTCGTCACCGCACTTTTATTTTATCCAAAAGAATGGGAAAGAGCGAATAAAATCAAAGTAAAATAGAGATCAAGGTAAGGAAGTTGGTTATGCAAAGGGAAGGTATTAGCACCCTAAACATCTAAGGTACTCTGCATGATGTTGGAGCGATGTAGCAACAAGCAACAAAAGTTTTGGAAATATTTATCTGGAAATTTATCGTGTCCACGGAGATTGATTATTGAATTATCGTTCGACAAATTCTCGCGTTTGTGAGTTGGGTTTGAATGGGCTTGTAAAGAAAATGTTATCAACAGAAAATAAATGTAAACAAAAGTAAAAACTAAGGAAGAACTTATCAAACCTGCATATAATCTACTCATCACAGACTTAAATCTGTCGATCAGTTATATTCAACCTAACAATACTCATCAATGTCACCACGTATCACTCACAACCTAAGTCATTTCTAACCCAAAATAAGAGACCAACTGTATCACCAAGGAAATGATCTCTCAACCTCCTCAACAACACAAAAGACAATTATGTAATCACACTGACGATCTCTTAGCACAGCACAACCACACAGAGACATTAAGCTCTGATACCCAAGTAGATGTCAGCTCTAAATCTATCTCTAGAGTTCAGAAACTAACAGATAATCATCCTAGATAAGAATCTAAGCAGTGTATGTCTATAACAACTCAAATCCCTAGCATAGAGCAAAAATCCAGGACAACAATCGACAAAGATTTATAAAGTAAGTTTTATATAACGCCATGGGCGACAAATATACATAAGTTCAGAGTAAAATACATGTACAAAACCCAAAGAAAGAGAAACACATAGAGAGGAGAGGAGATAAACCATAAATCTTCCAATTTGTCAGTGCCGGTCAATGAGAAATCTACCTCCAATCATCCATAAGAAAAGCCTTAGTGTTGTTATATAAGCTAATCCACTATAAAAATAAGGTGGATGGATTTGAGAGAACAAAAATCTCTCCCAAAACCAACACCTAACAAATGAAGCAAAATGAAAGATATAAAGAAAATCTGATCTACAGCCATCGCCCGACGAAATAAAAGCATCGCCCAGCAAAATAAAAGCATCGCCTAGCGACAACTCTTATATACAAGGCCCAGGAAAAGCCATGTCTTCAACTGAAACAAATATCCTCTTTTGCCTGGCGACAAACTCACGTCGCCTGGTGATGCATCTTCTCCTCGCCCCAGCGATGCAGCAGTGAAGCAAGGTAGGAAATTCATCAAAATTGGTCTTCAAAATTTCGCCCGATGACACTCCCTTTCGCCCGACGATTCAAGATAGGAAGGAAACTTTTATTGCTTTCTCTGCAACTTTAAATGGCCTCCAATCTTGGTCTTATTCCTTTTTTATTCAAAAATGCATCTTGGAACTTTATTCCTCATTGCTTCAACACTGCTCATATACCTACAAAATAAATATAAAACCATCAAACGATACACTTTATACAAGAAAATGCATTATATACAAATTAAACGTATTTACACAAAAGTCGGGATTATTTAACAATATTAACAAACAAAAATTCGATAAGTGCAACAAAACTTATATACAAAAATAGCTACAATTTGCACTTATCAAACTATCCCCAACTTAAATCATTATTTATCCTCAAACAAAGTCTAATAACCTAAAGAAAAAATAATGATAAATCAAAGAATCACGAATCAACAAGTTTTGAAAACGGAAAACAATTGCGGTGGTTCAAATGAAAAATGGTACACACGAAGAAACATACTTACCACTAAACTATGGCGATAACATAAACATGAAACAAATGCTAAATACAAAGAATATGCCAAACACTCTAAAACAATACTCGTTCACAAATGAATCACACCTAGCAAACATAATCATCGGTAGATGAAAAACACAAAAATGAGGTATTTTCACTCATCCAACAATCTTGCAAACAATAGACTAAATTATGCATTCATCCAAAATTTTATATTGAAAATATAAAAGCAAGAATCTCAAGGGCTTTTCAAGGTTGTAATGTGGCTTGGTTAACAATAAGTCCTAAAGCTAATCGAAATAAAAACTTGCCTAAACCTAAGGGAGTAATTACTTCCACAAAGTTTCAAACAATAGAATTTTAATCAAACTTCTTCTTCATCCCAAATTTTAAACCAACACACATCAATTATTCAACACAACATTATTCTATACTCTTTTTGTTTTTCTTTTTGAAAGCTTTTCTATTTTCTTCCTTTCTTTTTCTATCACTTTTTTTTCATTTTTTTTCTCACTTTTTTTTCTTTCATAACCTCGTAGCAATCAACCAATGAGTACACAATCATTTTTCTCCCCAATTTAAATTCAACCATCATCATAATGTGAATACTTCTTACTTTCTAAGGCAAGGTAAAAATTCAACTATAAATCATAGTTAAGGGTTCAAGAAAATAAGGAATCAATATCCATACAAAAAGGGAAACTAAACACTCATAGACAGCATTTAGCAAATACAACATGGATATCGATAAAAAGCTCAAAGGGGTTACTAATGATCACACACTCACAAGGTGAATTGACTATTTCGCTAGGTAGTTGCGCTCAAAATGGAACAAAAAATGCCTTGATCACTTTCTTGCATTCATACAATCAACACAAAACAAAAGATTAAGCATAATAAAATCCAGTTAAAACAAGAATTGTGGCATCCAACATATATGAACAATGGAAAGCTACCTCACAAAAAGGGTAGGAACTAAAGTGACTCACAAATGAACAAGTATACAAAAGAATAAATGGCATAAAAATTGTAAAAAGTCTAAGTATCATGAATATGCTAAAGTATAGAAAGCGATAAACACGTACCTCGAACGTGTACAAAACTTTAACAAAATCATTACCACGTATTTGCAAGTTAAAACGATCAAACTTGACAAATCACCTTAATATTCTACAAGTTACCGGATCAAAACTTGAGTGCAAACAACAACAAAAGAATTAGAAAAATAAAACTCCTACAAAATTTCAATGTACAAAATTTACAATATATAAAACGAGCAAAACTCCTCAAGCTAAACACGACAAGCTTTCGGAAAACACAAATTGACATAACAAAACAAATACAAATAACGATATGAAAACCGGGTGAAAATAAATTAGCAAGTTGAAAAGTGAATATTTTAAATTCAGAATATTTCCTTGTTTCAACTTGTTAAAGCACAAATCACCACACACATAAACAAATACAAACAAACATGTTTGTTTTACGTCGTAAGCTCAATGCCTTTATTGTGTGAGTGTTAGATCCTAAATTTGACACTCACACATATTAGACTTATTAGCTAAAAATAGATTGAAGAAATCTAAGTTGAAGACACTTCGACAGAAGAGCCTATAAAAGGGGTTGTGTCGAAGTCATCCTTGCTAAGAAGGAGAAAACACTTAGAGGATTTTCTAAGTTAAAGGTTGAAATTCTGGCTGCAGATACTCAATGTCACGTTCAATGTTATGACACCGAATCTGATTTACTATATGACAGTAAATACAAAAGCAATAAAGAACACAGTCAATTGTTTACCCAGTTCAGTGTGCAAC